AAAAGTGCTATCAGTATATCATGCAAAGCAGTTGGTCCCTCTTATGAATTTCGACAAGATAATAAGACGTACTTTACTCGACACATGTAATGTATTTGAGCAATACACTTCGAACATTTTGATCACACATTTACTTGTCATGATGATACAAAATGCCAAATGATGCACTACGTAAGACTCGGCAAATCCTTTTAAGTGAAGGCAGGAGAAAGACAACACTGTCTACTATCACCCATGATATTCCTCATTGTGGTAGAAAAGATCTCGCAACAGCCCATGGGGAGCAAGGCGATGGGCATGCGTTGGACTGACGAAAAGACGTTGAAAGATCTGATCTTGGCAGATAGTTTTTATCTGATGTCACAAAAACTGGAAGATCTACGGGAGGAAACCAACAAGTTGGCAGGAGAGGCAGTCGAGAAACGACTTCCGTTGAACATAGAGAAAACAGAGGTGATGAAGATGCCTAACCAAGTGAAGTGAAGTCATCTCTTTTCTTTATCGAAGCAGAATCATTCCAACTATGTGCAGCACGTATTGGGATGCCAAAGGTAGGATTACAAAAGCAAGACAAACTTTCATCAGTGCAGAAATCTGTCCTACTCAGCCCAAGGAACAGTGTACGAATTGCCATCACTAATATCAAATCAATTCTCCTAAATGATTCAGAGTCTTGGCGAGAAGGTCAGTAAAAGTTTTCGCGACAGTCTGCTGCAGAATTTTATCAACACTGCATTCGCTAATTACATCTGACTGAAGATGAGATGACCAGAAGAGATTAGCAACAAGAAACTCTCTCTCTCAACGAACCAACCAAAGACCTATCGCTCAACATGTATACAGAAGCAAATGGATGTGGATTGGACGCACACTGAGGAGACCGTTTGTTTGTTTTTGACATTGCAGAGCATATATCCTACTAAAGGTACTGATTATCAACTGGCAGGTTGTCATATAGGTAGTTTACACATGATCCACAGTAATATGTTACTTTTACTAACTCGACCTAATTTAGGTGATAAATAATTGCAAAAACATACACTATTAAACCTCACAATTAAAAAATCACTCTCTACACACTCAATAGATGCATACGCACAGGAAAAGTGATATGAAATAACCTGTTAGCACTTATGAGAAATCAATTCACTGAAATGCATTTACCAGTGAAATATATTATTATATTATCATAGAATTAAAGTGAAAGCGATCATCTGTAACAATAAAACTGCTTCAGTTGTCTGATTTAACTAATGCTAAAAACAAATGTCATGAAACAGACATGAATTTCGTTAAGTGAAATATAAAACAAATCATAAAATAAGATAGCTAATGTTGACTGATGCTTGGATACTGTAACCAGCTGGTTAACTAGCTAAGTTTGCAAAGATTTGGTTGATTAGTCAACTCACTATCCGACTAAAACTTGAGTGGAACATTGTGACATGAGATTTCAATTATGGCAAACTGTAAAGCTAAGGAGTAGGCATGATAAAGTAATTAATGCTCAAATTATCCAGACAGCGCACAATTACAATAGCAAAAGCATTACAACAACAACAAAAAAAAACATGATGAAAAATGCATAAAACACGAGATATAGTGTATGAATGCAAACTAATATTCTTAATCATATATTATGTTAAAACAATAGTAAGACTGATTGGTCCTCCTCATCCATATTAGCAAACAATTTTACCATTCAGTCCTATGTATTATTCTTGTCAGCTTGCCTATCTCATCATAGGTTGAGAAACTGCTGTATGAGTCACGCATAGATTTAAGTCACTTCTGAAATCCTACTAAGTGGTCTGTTACCATGAGTCAGTGAAAGAATGCTTAGATATTCTTAAAAATGTTTCAACACCTACTGTTACGCGTGTATTTTTCAATAAATACAGTACAGTATATATATATATATATATATATACTGTACGTTCCCCAGTGGAACATAGGGTTTCAAGCTAGAAGCTTGAAGTTTCTGTAGCAGTGTTTATTTTTACAGGATGGGGTTGCTAGCCTCATGCCCAACCTTTCCTCTTCATCAGCATTATTTCTGGTTTAGCAAGGTAAAGGAGTGCGTCGACCCGGGATCGAACCCCGGACCATGTGCATGGTCGACGAGCGTCCTAACCGCTATGCCACCGACGCACTACACTATGTCTGCCTGAAGAATTACAACAATACTTCACTGCACTCTCTGTTTTTACATGCAGTACACGTGCATTTCAGAAAACAACATAAATTTATTAACGTAAACAAAACTGATGCATCAGATTTTAAGTCGTTAGCCAATCAGAAATCATATCCATAATAAATTTTCCACATACCAGGCTGTGAATCTTAATATGTGAGGGCTGATGTTATAATCTAGTTGCCCTGTCTATATTCTAACCTTGGAGTCGTTAACTAAAAGACGAGTGCTCCAGCTTATAAGCCGCATATCCCTATTTTTTATAGCCACCAAAAAGATAAACATTTGTTATTTGGTATAGGAATAGATTTCGTGTTCTGCATATTATAGTGACTGGAATATAGTGACAAAAAAGTTATGGAAAAGACTGAAGTTGGAACCAACCCTCCGTGATTTCAGTGAAATAATAAAGTGTCTAGCCCTTAAGGTCTTCAGATGTGATATATATACGTCTAAGAAATTCTAGTCAACATAGTTCATAAAAATGAGTACGAAAAGTAGCTAATAAATTATGCCTAGAATAACTTGTTATATATATAAGAGTAAAACTTGTGCACTGTGGTAGAGTATAATTCCATTATGGGTTAAATTTTCACTATGGATAAGATTTTATTTTGATAAATCACACAGTGTTATACAGTAATATTAACTGATGACCACCTTTCGAGCACAAACTATTGCCACTCATAATCATATCAAGTTACTCACACAACTTTCTTGCTTCATTTATATACATGAGTAAAAACTGATGATTAGACATTTGAATAAAAATCAATATAAGATATTGTACATTCAGAAATAATAATATAAGTGTTATTGATTATGATTGCATGGAGGATTTCATCATGAGCTCACATCAGTTAGAGAACCACCGGAAAACCTGGGAGTACTGGACAGCTGTTTCGTCCTAGTTTATGACTCTTCATCAGTACGCACCCACCGAGGTTATGTGAGTACCTTGATATGATTATGATCAATAGTTTGTGCTCGAAACGTCATCAGTTAATATTACTATATAACCCTGTGCGATTTATCAAAATAAAATCTTATCTATAATGGAGTTATGCTCTACCACAGTGCCCGAATTTTATACTTATCTCAATGGGTTAAATTTATTTTGATAAAGTTTCACAGTGTTATACAGTAGCAATATTTACTGATGACCACGTTTCGAGCACAATTTATTACTGCTCATAATCATATCAAGGTATTCACACAACTTTCTAATTTCGTTTATATAATTCAATTATCTACCATCGCTTGATTTGATTGGTAGTAGTATTTTCCATATTTCCGGTATGAGTGATGAGTCATTCCTATTCCACGTGTTGTCTTGGGTGTAGTGGACTCGATGAACAAGGATTCAGTAATCAACCTCTCTCGCTCTCCACCTGCCTAGATTACTTCTTAGAGTTTTAACCCTCTCCCACGATGCTACTGTGTGGTTGTGTGTTAATGCATGCAGTGCGATTGGTGAGCTTTTTTCTAAATTACCTATCTTCTCTGGGTCAACCATTCTTACCTTAGCTAAATTCTTATGTTCCGACAATCTGACTACCCCCTGACCTACTAGTTTGACCTATGTAGTTGACCTCACAGATGTACTCTCCCACTGGCAGAAGTTGAAATTCATGGGACACTGGATCGGGCGGGTCCCAGTGGCTGCATAGTATGTCAGCCCGCCATGTAGCGGGGAGATCCTAGATTCGAACCCTAGCATACTCTGCTAGAGAGTTCCAAACTAGGATGAAATAGCTGTCCAGTACTGTCTGATTTTCCAGTGATTTTGCTAACTGATAGCAACTTATTGGATGGTGTGCTTAAACCACAGAAGTGTGAACATGCACTGATTCAGTGATTATAAAAAAATAAAACCAATAGCGTAACTTTTATATTCATCATATATAATATTAATTAACATTACAAGATTTTTTTTAATTTCAGATATAATAACAAAGTTTACTGGACAGGAAATTAGTTAAATGCATTTTATTGTGTATGTGTATGCTTTAGGATGAAGCTATCATTGAATAGGAGTGAAAAAAACCGTATAACAAACCCTATAACACTTTGAAACGCGCATACTCATTCTTCACAGCTTTTAATTATCTAAGGATTATTTATACTTTCCGAAAAATAAAAAGGCGATTTGTTTTTTTTTCTGTAAAAGTTGTGTGAATGTTCTATAGTAATAATAATCATAACAATAATAATGATACAAAAGTTCTGTTGACAGATTTTTTTTTCAAAAGATTAAAACACACAGAACAGAGAGCAAATGTAAAGCTTACTTACTTTTATTTTATTTACTCACGCGCGAAATCCACATTTTTTTAACCCGTGAAGAGAAAAAAGAATTCTCAAATGGCTTTTATCAACAACTTAACTGATAAATACCATCTGAATATTCAAGTCTAAATTCAAATTTTATGGATGAATAACATTTGACCACTAGATGTGTATGATACAATAACACTTCAGCTGTTGATGGCCAAAGTTTAAAAATTAATACTAATAATAATAATAATATAGTAACGGTAATAAGAAAAACGAAACCTAAAGCACATTTAGTGGATATATGTGCCTCGGTGTGTTTAGAAGGGTTGAATACTTGTCAACCATGCACGTGGTCCGGGTTCAATCCCCGGCCAATGCACACTGCCATACTTCGCTTAGCCAGTAGCAATCTTGGAAAAAAGGGATGGTTAGGTGTTATAAGCCAGCAACCTCAGTCTGTAAAATCAACACCACTACTACTGAAACTTCAAAAAAAGAGAGAGATATGCAAATCCATTCATTTACTTACTCTACTTGATCAGCTAAACGTTGTGATACTGAGATGAAACTGAGCATTCCAATCCCACACCATTCAGGAAAACGTTCTTGAAGTTCACCAGCATCGAAAAGCTAAATGTGTATTGTAATGATAAGTGAAAATTTGAAGAAAAAAAAGTCCTTTATTACTTACTCATAAATAAGGGGAGCTAAGGTTGGATGTGACTGAGTACAATACATGTAGGTGCTTTTTTTCCGACCAATAGCTGCTACGTTGACGTGGTGGTTGGGCTTGCCATATTGCGATCACCCAACAAGCTACACTGGCTGGAATTAATCTTTCTGTAGGTCCTACTCTGCCAGAATGGTTGTTAGGATAGCAGTTAGACTAAAAGCAGTTACCGGCATAGTGTAAGAACATTTTTTGCACTATGCTGAGGGTCTATGGGCGAAGTCGTACTGCTGGGGAACAGTAAGGTGTTTCTCTCAGATGACCAGCATGCCAGCTATGCTGTCCCTGCACTCTGGAGAGAGAGGGTTAGAAAAGGTCGACCCCCAAAATTGTACATCCCAACGTAATCTACGGTGGTCCGTAACCAGTGGTAAGTTACTAATACGGAACCAATCCAAGAAACCAGTTCAAACAGGTCGTGTGTGACCGGCCTCAAGCAGTTGTCTCCTGAGCTCTGCGGTCACGCAACACTAACTCTCTTTCTATTTCAGGTACATGAAGAAAAGAATCGACTTCCACAGTGTAGGCAGCGGGGAAGTAACAATCGCCCACACGCTTCCAAAAGCACACGAAGCCCCCCCCCCAGATCATCAGTGTAGGTGCTTTTCTATCGTTAATACTGATGCATGAAAGTTGACCGTACTACAAATTAATTTCTTTTGAAATCATTTACCGTCTCTATATTTTAAAAAAATGTTAGAAAGATGAATACAGCTCATTGTTTCATTCGATAACAAAATTTCGACACTGACCGAGAACACTGAAAGTTATCATTCTAAGTAATAAATATCTTATGGAATAAGAAAGGAATATTTGATTCTCTTCTAAGTCATGGTAAATGCTCAGACTCTGCTATACTACTTGTTAAACACGAGGTAGTATGGTACATATACAGTTAAGCCTATGTCTTCTCCCAAATCTTTACTAAGTGGATAAAAATGACACATTGCACTGTATTTATTTCATTTATCATCTTACATCGATTCACACGTGAACAGAAACCGCTTATCGAGTAAGGCCTTCGAATGAGAAGACTGAATCATTTGACCGTTGAGTACTTACTAGTAATAGAAGAAGAAACCACTAATCAAAAGAAAGTACACATGCAATGTTTCCATTCATCCACAAAACCTGTTGTTGGCAGAAGGCTTAAGTCGCAGACAACTTGTGACCAATTAAGGACGTTTTCTTTTATATTCACAATTAAAGTTAATACATTTGTTCTGTTCTGTTCTATTGTTTCTATGTTGACTGTTATTTTCACCTTCATTTAAACCTTCTTTGTTCTCTGTTAATTTCTTTGCGATTTAAACTTTAATTATTTTGCATCGGATATTCTGCGAGTAGTACGTGTTTGTATGTGTGTGTGATCGCGTTGTTTTAAATATGACACAAAAATATACATTTGTCATTGTTTTGACCAAAATTAACCAAAAGCACATGTAACTATGGAAATCAGATGTGAAATTTATCCACTGTCAGGGATCGGATTGGAATCAGTCTGTTTCGCCTAACCATCGCCTCCCCCGACGGGCATTACTAGCTGATATAGGTGCAGGTTGAAAAAGAGTAAGTGGTGGCCAAACAAAAACATGGCATCAATCCATGAAATCCCTGACACTTAAACTGAGTCAGGTAGGGAGATGCAGACTTCCGGGCTGAGGCCCTCGGGACTCTAAGAATCAATGACTGGAGACAATAGGTGACATGGCTCAAAATCGTTGTCAATGGCTTATGCAGATGTATTCAGTCTCTGTAATCTTTCATATTCCTTTCTACCATTACCCATTCTTTTTCACTCTTATACTTGTCAAAACTCTATTGATTCTTTTCACCCATTTTCTTGTCTACCTTTGGAACGTGGCAACTCGAACTGCTGCACTTCGGTGCCAAGTTCTGTGTTGAATCCAGACAGACAGACAGTTTCACTTAATTTGCTCATATAAATCGGAAGTAAAGATCAGAGTACTAAGGATTAGTAGTGAATTACATATAATAGATGTGGAAATGCTTTCTTTACAATTACGTAAACACATATGACAATCGATTACATAGTAGAAAGCTGATATTAGACTTCAGAATAAAACGAGAAACAGGGAATCCCAAACCCAGTTTCTATACTTGTTGGCGCATATAATTCGGTAGACTGGACTTCTATATTTGTTGAGCAATCAGCTCAACAAATTTGTAGAAAATGGAGATGGATCGGACATACATTGGGGAAGTCATTGATTGACATCGCGCACAATGCAGGCCGTTGCTCGAGTGGAATCCAAATGGGAAGCGACGAGTGGGTAGTCGGTGCGAGGGTGACATGGAGGAGATCGTGTGAGGAAGAGATGAGAGATTATGAGCAATCGTGGACGCAGCTGAAATGGATGTCAAAAAATAGAAGAAAGAAGAGATGTGTTTTTGAGGCCCTATGTTCCACTCAGAACCCAAGCGAATAATAATAATAATAATAAAAGCAAATCGCCACCTCCAAAATTCAAAATTACGATACGATGACTGATGCAGAAGTTAGCTACGACACCTAATACTATCCAGTAAGTAATTCACATATCTAGATAATTCTTCCAAAAACTTATTAGTTTTAAGGAAGATAAAAAGTAATTATATAGGTGTAAAAATCATGAATACTTACTGGTTTCTCCATCGATGTCTTAGGAAATACTTGTTCTTCACAAAGTATCAATGAGTCTGCAATAATGTCCTCGTACAGCAAAGGCTTAAGAATTAATAAATAAATAAAACGTGAATATGATTATAACTGAACACATTCTTAGATATATTTTCAATCCAAAGAAGTACAAATTTCAATTTTCAATTTTGATTTTTTTTTTTCAATTTTGATTTACAGCTTGATTCCACACCGTATTTTCAGTACAAGTGTGGAATTTTCAGCATGGATATCGGTAGCCCAAATTCAGGCCGACCATAGATATCAGGTGTGCGCCGGCAGGGGATCGAACCCCGGACCATGTGTATGGTCGGCGAGAGTCCTAACCACTGTGCCACCGACGCACTTTTTCCTCTGAACTTACATCAAAAACATACATAAAGATATACTATTGGGAAAAAATTGCTATTCAGGTCACCTAAGCGATTTCGAAAGTCATACTGACCATTTTCAATGAACGGTATATATATTATGCAGTAATTTAATGGGTAGCTCGTCTATTGCAAAACGATAAACAACAGTGTGGACCAAATATGTTCTGGAGGGACAATGACAATGCATGGTATTGGAATATTGACATAAGTAAGTGTGTCACAAGGAACTAATTGTCCTCATCTGACCGAAACACATTTTGCAATATGTAAATATGGAAGAAAAAGGAAGTATTAGCACACTGTTTTCTAATCAACAGCGCCTGGTAAACCAATTACGAATAATACAGATTCGTTTCTCTTGATAAACTTCAACAAAATCGCAAGAAGAACTAAATTTGTAGTATGAGACACGATATGAAGATCATTGATGCTATGCATTAAGTGATTTTTCAGATTAACACTAGTTATTGTCCTCCTGAATTCTGTCTTTCCCCGCTTTATCTTCTCTTTGCCATTATATATAAGTGGATGACGATTTCAGTCCCAATTTGTCAACTGTAATGACACTACTAACCACACAACTGTAACAATGCTTTCTATATTATTACTGAGAACAGTTGAAGTGTTTAATTGTTCTTATTCTTTCATGATTGTTTTAGGCAGTCTGACTGACTGAGTTTTCAACGCAGAACTTCACACTGAAGTGCACACAACCACCTGGTTAGATCAATCGGTTGGGGTATGAAACTTTTCAAAAAGTTTGCAATGGATCTGTTAAATAAAAGGATGGTTTTCTCTTTATGTTTCGAACTCAGTCCCCTTTGCTTAATATAAATCATAAATTACACTAATAAATAACCTTCAATAGCAAGAGTGAAAACTAATTTGACATAAATAAATAGGCCTTATTTGAAACTGCAGTCATCTTACGAGAATCTTTTTTTAACGAAAACAAAACTTACTACTCAATATGAGGTTAGTAAGTTGAGTGAATTACGTACAAAAGCTATGTGCAGTAATACTTTTCCCCTACTTTAAAGATGTGAAGTTTAATGGAGGGCTAAAACTTTGTCTTTGAAAAAAGAGCTAACTGGTAGACACGAAAGAGATGAATGTATTTATTGGTTAATTTAATTTAATATGAAGTGATCACCAGCTAACATCACTTCGGAAAAAGCCTTCTAGTGTTAAAACGCCAACAGAGAAAGGTGTATTTATTGCATTTTCGGAGTACGTTACATATTAGCCGCTTTAAGACAGCCACTGAGTAATATTCACTGGTGAATAAATATCCTTTAAAACTCTATTTTTTTTACTTTTTCCACTTAGATCACAGAAATCCCTTAGTTATTTTGATTGTTTTCAAAAGAAGTGTTGTGGGTTTCAAGCTAATAAAAATATTTGCACTTTCAGATATCACTATATTAATTTAACGCATAATAACTAACTGGTAACAGTGATAGAATGCTCATCAGCCATGTGGGAGGTCTGGGGGTTCGATTGCTAACCTGCGCACTGCTAAATCTCGCCTAGACGGTAGTAAGCCCGGGAAAAGAGAGAACGTTGGACGTGAGGTCTAGCAACCCCCCCCCCCACCCCATCCAGTAAAAGAATGGCGTTACTAAAACTCCAAAATCTTGCAGTCCTATATTCCACTCGGAATGCACGAAATGAACACCAGCAGCAACAACAGCAACAAAAATAATAAACCAACACGTCAAGTACGGTTAGCTGGAATTTATGGTTTCGTAGACTACTTTGTTTTCTCTTTAGTGATATGTGATGAATAAGCACACCATAGGTTACTATCAATCATATATATATATATATATTGTAAAATCAAACAAAACTTATTACATACAAGCTTTGTGATTCCTCCATCAGCATCACTTATGTCAACATCCCATCTTTCTTTAATTTGCAATGTTTCAATGGCTGAAATGCATAGGAAAATAATGAGGAACAATAAATTTTTTTAATGAGAGTATGGATATAAACACGATAAAAACATTATGCAGAGGATGAAATGAATGGATGATACAAAACCACTGGAGTGAAGCTGTTTTTTAAGTCCTCATCTTACTGATTTGCTTACAACAGATACTGAGTACCAGTAGATGACTAGAAGTAATTAATGGGTTACTTGCTTATGTCGTCACACTTTTTTTTATCGTAGCTACCTGAGATAACCAGGCTATTTTCCAGTTTTACTCAGTTACCACTTTTTTACAATACGTCTATAGTAGAAATAGAGACGTTTTGACTTATAGCTACAATCTATGTGGTCAAACAAAGCGAATACAAGATGAAATTCAGTGATAATCGAGTGTGAAAAGCAGAATGTTAAGTGGGTATTTTAGGCTTCTGAGTTCTTCTTTTTATCCTGTGGAAGACCATGAATAAATAGTACTGAACTGATTGTCCACTGTCTACTGCACCTTGTTTTTCTTAAAGATTATCTCGCTGGTGCAAATATATCAACAGCAGAAAAAGATTCTCACTGAAGTTGTTTGAATTGACAGACTTACTCAGTTGAGCACGCAGAAATATCCCACGAACTGCAAGCTTGCGTAGATCATAGGCTAGTTTAGCAAATATATCAATGATATCAGACGGCATCTCTGTCAGTGGTAATGAACTACAGCATTGCCTGAATATGAAGAGAAGTCATAAGAAAGTAATTTTAGATTAAGTTGTAAAATTTTGCGTGCAATCAAAAATTTTAATTATGTTCCTTAAAGGGGAAATTTTTATTAACTGTATATAAAATTCATAGTGTATAAGGCCAATTCCCCTGTGTCTACAATGTTTAACTTGTATAGGTGTGCTGTTCGTGATTACTCGTTGAATACGAATAAGTCTGCATGCTAGAAATATTTTCTCAGGAGTTATTTGATGATTTCCTGAAGTTCTATGCTATTAAAGTTATGGGTAAACTAATTAGACTCCTGATACAATTACAGGACTGAAGCATAAATTCCTATTCATACGCACTCATTAAATTGTGTAAACCACAATCAGTTTCAGTAATGTACTACAATGATTATGCGAATTATAGCAGGATGCATTTTGTACACTATAGATTGTTCATATATATATATAACTAATATGACACACTCTCCCTGTAGGATGTAGCCAAAGTAAGTTATCTAAGCAACTATCATTGAATACATTACATTGGTGCATTTTCGCATGATTAAAGGATGAAGAAGTACTCTAACAATTCATGAAATCTCTCCAAGTTGAATCCTTCCACAACTCAGGTTTTCATTTCAACTGCAACTATTAACTCACTTAATCAAAGTGAGGTTGGGAAAGAGCTAGTAGTGGTCAAACCGAAACACGGCTTCATCAGTCAATTAAATCCATAACAGTTAGTTTAAGCCAGCCAGTCATGTAGGGAGGTGTAGACTTTCTGACTGGTTGCGATCTTCGGGATGGTAAGAACCAATGAAGGCTGGAGGCACATTGGCGATATGGCTCAGTGGTGCAGATGCATTCACTCTTTGTGATTTATCATATCTAATAAAATTCTATTTTTTTGCATATAACTATTCTTTTCCCCTCATACTCCTGTTTATTATCTGTCTTTTGAACCTTCCTCTGCTCACTCTCTTCTTGCTTTGTGTACTAAAGGGAATGTGGCAACTCGAACTGCTGCACATCTGTGCAAAGTTCTATGTTGAAACCGGTCAGTCAATCACTTAATCAAACCAGTTGATCCCATTAAGCGCATTTCGCAACAAATTCTTTATTTCAGCTGACCGACAAAAATCACCCGCCTTATTGTAACGCAATGCCTCCAAAGCCTCAGGATGGTCGGGGGTGGATGCCTTGCGCTGCGGGTTGGCCACCCTTCCGCACACCTCTTGAAATGCTCCCATATGACCGGGCGTCTTACATAGCCTCTCCTAAGGAAGTCCTACTCACTGCCTTCACTTGGCGGAGGTGTTTCTCAACAAAGTGAGAGGGCGAAAGCGGATGCCCGGCGCTCTTCACCGGGTTGACTGTCCATTGGATGACAGTCTAGGGGAGATGGCTAAACCCTGATTCCAAACCTCCAACGACTGGCGTATGAAGCTCACTGGAGCTCACTGGCAGACGTATGGACAAAGGGCTTGTTGGATGTCTGGCCCCATTCAAAAAGGCGTATGAACCGAACTCTGGTCACCGGCTGCCAATGGATAGTGGACTCCCTACTCCACTCCTACTGCCTTGTAGATTACACTTGGTTGTGTAAAGGCTAGAGCTGCACTCTCAAACAAAAGGCCGAGCGATTCTGGGGACATCACTCGTACCAAATTCCCATGAAACTTCATGAACTCTCTTACAAACGAGGTACAGTCAAGGCTGATATGGAGTGCCTGGGGCTACAAACCGTCTACGGACTCCGTTTGTAGAACAAGAATTGGACAACCCTGTCGCAAAACCTTGCATCAGATCGCCCCGCCTGGGCAGCGATGATTCGAGATGTTCATGAAGCCGGCTCATCCTCTCGTAGGAGATAGCCGAAGTAAAGAAAGAAGAAGAAGAATGACCTAGATGCAACAATCTATTTCATTTAAAGCTTTGAAAACTATTCTGTTTAGGTGTTGTTAGGCAGAAAATAAAATGTTAGATAATGTTGACTAAGGGTATTTATTATGCAACACAGACACCTACCTGTATTCTCGTATACATTCTAATAAGTAATCTGTTAATGCTGTTTCATTTGTTGTACTACTGAATGCTTCAAGAACACTATCACGCATGTGATTGGAAATAGCATGAACCAGCTCCAAGTTAATTTGCTAAAATAAATTATTTTATAAAAGGCAAGTAAAAGAAAATAAATAAGTAAGTGGTAAGATGCAGACACTGATGATAAAATTGTCTTCTTCAATACACCAATAAGGAAAAAGTGTGACTGCTACTCAGTTTAATTTGTAGCAGTAAATCGAACAGGAAATTAAACATAAGATTATGTAAAACAACAGAATTGATTGTAACAGCAGTAAAAGCTTGTAAAAACAACAACATAGTTCAATGACACAGGCATCTGTCAAAAATCCAAATATTATTAAATGACAGTTCAACTAGGATACTTCAGTAGTATAATGCACTCACAAGAAAAAAAGGAATTTTTCTAATCAGGCTATCAGTCTATATGAGTTCTGAAATCCCTTGAGGACATAATCGTCTATGAAAGTTGTCCCATTCTCAGAGAAACTGATAGTAACTGGTAGAAATAACTCTTCATACAATCTTAACTTTATTAAATGAAAGTTTGGTTCGAAACTGCAGACAAAAATCAGCATGTGTTACGGTCCTTTGAAGTTCTTGCGCCGATCCATTCAGATAAACAGAATAAAGGGATGTTTTTTTCTAGTTTACAACTTCCTCCCATTACACCGAATAAATGAAGTTATGTGAGTATCAAAACTGATGTGTGATGTATATACGTAAATTTGTAAATTCAGATTACAGGATTTCGATTACTGAATATTACCGCATGAAGTATGGGCGCAAAAAGACCCAAAGTGATTTAATTTAAGCAATAGGCTGGATCATTGGAGATAGCTAGATAATAGTAAGTAATCTGCTGAAACTCTAGATGCTAAAATCCTTGTAGTGGGAAGAGATAATACTATCGTAAACATGTACTCGGTCAATTATTTATATTGTTTTCATGCAGCCTACACTGTGGGAAATGATGTCTTTCTCAAATACCTTAAATACACAGTAAATAATTTTGCATAAAAGTGAAATTTTCTATAGTTGGTTTGTAAGGATTAATTTTGTTTCTACGAGTTGATCACGGATTGATATGAGTTAGAGAACCATTGAAAACCAGGGAGTACTGGACAGCTGCTGTTTCATCCTAGTTTGGGAATCATCGGCAGTACGCACCCACCACACTGGTTTCGAACCAAGGACCTTCCAGTTACAAGGCAAGTTAGTATACCATCCAGTCACTGGGACCCGATTCAATGGCGCATGAATTCTAACTTCTACCACTTCGTGATTTAGCGCGACCCCAACCAATGTTGTCGGTGGGACATCCATCCTCACACTTGACTGGATGGACCTCACTGGTCAAGACATCTCACTAGAACTCCCGGAAACTCCATCCTGTGAGGTCCTTATTACCACTGTTGTTAACTTGACTTTTGTTTTGGTTAAATTTTTAGCTGAGCTCTACTCAACCAAGTCAATTAGATGACGTCACTCAAACTTGCTTATTTAATCTTACTTTAGTTTCTAGGCGATTAACGAAGTTTGTTATCTAAAATTTACAATTCTAATGACAAATCCTTCAAAATTATCACAATTGATTAAAAGTCACAACTAGTCGAAAACTCCACCGAAAATATTATTTCAACTTACTATCCAAGCTGCTTTAGGATCATTTGTGGACGATTGACCGAGTTTATCATAAACTTTCTGAAAAGGAAACGATAAATTGTAAGAACAAGTTTATATTATGCAAAAGTTAGGATAAAAGGAAAACATATATATATATATATATTTACAGTAAGACGTTATTTCCTAATTATAGTATTGTCAGTTTGCAATGACTGAAATTGTTTGTTTATGAAAAACTAAATGGTTAAACAAAAGCACCTTGCAACACAGTGAGTTACACAGAATAGTCCGCAAATTTTGCTTTACTGAATCACTGAAAATAGCCACAAAAGGGAGTCGCTTAGCCAGTACTTTCAGTGACAAAGTTATAAACTTAGAACCTTCAAACTATGAAATAGTACAGTAATAGAAACAAAAGAAATTCAATTTTATACCTTGAATGTTCAAAGTTATTTAGGACAAACTTTTATCTGCAACAATAAACTTACAGTATTTCCAGGAGCTTGATTACTGTAATTCAACTGCCCAGACGTATACGCAGCACCCAGACGCCAAAACTGTGTGACATGAGTAGTGAGCAGGCGACACACTGACTTAACCATACCCACCATTCGAGGAACACCGTAAAACTCTACAGCATAAACAAGAAAGTAACTTTATTTAAGAGGAGCTCTATGTGTGTGTGCGTGTGTGCACAATGCAGATAGAGCGCGCATAAAAATTGCAAAAAGTTGAATTCACTATATAATGCAACTGTGCTCCATTCAAGCTATTGCACTCAGACGTCTAAAACTCCATAAATGAAGAGACTCGATTTCAGTCCGTGACCCCTTTTTCATATTTCTCCATTTCAAATAACCTAAAATCACAAATTAGTAATGCTGCGGAATGATTACTCTTAGTTAATACAATAGATTAACAGATCAAAAACTATGGGTTTCTCCTCCAGAACTTTTAACACCAACTCACAAATGCATACAAAACACAACTATTTTTTGTAAATCTAATGGGAAATTGTGAGGAGGTTTGCTATATTTTTAATAAGAGAAATTATTATTCATTTGGTTGTTTATGTCAAGAGAATAACAGGAATGTGACTAAACCTAATCTAATAACGGTTACCATTATATATATATATATATATATATATATATATATATATATAATTCGCAATACTTAGCGCGATGATTCCCATTAAAATTACAAATAATAAGCATAATGTGTTTATGAATATTGCATGAAGACCTAAGTTATATGTATGAGTCACAATATTTCCATACGCACAGAACTCTTGTTATAATAATTGCAATCAAAAATTTACTGGACTAGAGGACAAAGATATATGACGCGATATCAGTAATGACCATTGTTTCCACTGCTACGACTATTAATGAGTGTTATTGCTAAAATAATTATTACAACCAAACGTGAATACATCCTGTGTCTCACTATGTTTATAAATCAGATAAAATTAGAGAGATATATATTGAAACTGTTGGATTAACATTATTATTATTACTATCATTAGCCTTTACTCGATATAGGATATAATACCTGGAATGAGCTGCCGAAGGATTTAGAGTTTGAGTTTAAAAGCGACACAGAGAGGGCATCGCATAATACCTGATGTGATTACTCACGCTTTGGTCAACGTTAATGCAACATACAGAAGTATATCGAAAAGAAAGCCAACACGAGAGAATTAGAATAATTAAGTTCAACTCTACAAAACGAGCTGTGGTGATTCTATGCATTAACTTTCACTCTGTAATTGAATATTTGTTTCGTTTGCCTTGCCTTACTATAGAGACTAATCGATTAAGTATAATCCTTACGGTATCCGAACGACAGTGTCACATCCCACTGTGTTTATCAATTTACATGTATATGTGGTCACATGTATATTGGGAAGACCCGTCGATCTCTGCAGGTTAGAGCTACGGAACACAATCCAAAGTGGCTGCAAGAACATAAAAAATCACCGGATACAATTAGTCGGTGGCACAGCGGTTAGGACTCTCGCCGACCATGCACATGGTCCGGGGTTCGATCCCCTGCCGACGCACACCCGATGTCTATGGTTGGCCTGTAAATTTGGGCTACCGATATCCATGCTGAAAATTCCATACTTGTACTGAAAATATGGTGTGGAATCAAGCAGTAATCAAAATAAAAATAAAAAAAAATAGTCCGTGAAACAGATGTTGAACATCATTTATCGCAAAGCACATCATAGGGAAGGGTAACAAAGTTGATTCCAGTTGTGTCTTTAAGCCCATACGTAAAACGAGTTTGGATCATATACTGAAATTCATTGAAGCCTTAGTGATAAATTTGTTTTATGTGTTCGAAAATTACTTGTCATTAACTCTGAACCTGCCTCGATAATCCAATTTTAGAATCAAGATCCATCAGTATTTTCACCAACACCACCCCCCGCTTTTGATTTTACCCCATTTTTCTACCTCTTATCTATGACTATGATCTGTAAATATGTTGACTTATACTGATAAAAATTGTAAGCCTTTATGTTCTGTTGTCTTCAATATAAATATGTATGACAAGAACGAGTGTGACCAGAATGTCGAAAATGTGTTACACAAATAATACACTACACTTTTCAGATAAATTACGTCCTCTATATTGTTTTGTCGAAATTCATAAAAGGAACTCTCACTGGTTTACAACACTACATATAGTCTGTTGTGGTAGCGCGTTTTTGAATCGAACTTTGCCGATAATACACATCTGAAAAAAAAATACGCGGGGTGTTTTTTACCTCGACGTTTGACACAGACGTATGCCACTGAAGTCGGATCGAGCAGGCTTCGAATATAATCTAGTATTTCAATGCGATAATATAAAACGATAAGTGAACAGTAAAGTGAATAAGTTATGCTCTAGGGTAACAACAAACGATCATCTTATAGTATTTGGTAACTAGTAATAAACGATAGTAGATGATGTGCTCAAAAAAATAGAGCATATATGCGCAAAATTAGTTGAGATGTGATGTATGAATGAAATATAATCAAGTCTTTTCTTTTTAATGAAAACAGCCATTTACCTTCAGCGAATAATATCGATGATTCAGGATTCATTACAGAGGATCGATTATCAATTGATAAAAGATTACCGATAAGATGAGAACCACTATTCGCTGAATTTCCATCACCTATGCCTTGGCTTGATAAACGTTGATAATTGCGCAATTGGTCGATCAGCCAGTCTTTGAAACATGTTAAACACAACCATCCTGGATCATAATCCACCTCTAATTGAGTTAGATAACTGAAATGAAGCGTTGAAATACAAATAATTAATAAAAAGCTTTATTACCGAAACCTTTTTTACTTTTACTTTTTCTCTCTATTATTCGGTTTGTGATGGGGTTCATTGGCTGAAGCAGCTGGATATAAACCAATGAGTCACAGGTTCGAAACTTGCTTCATCTACTTCAGTTTCGGGATCTGAACAGTATCACCTGACACAGCTCACACCTTGGAACATGGAAAATCTGTTTCCAGAAATTGAATCTAATGATACACGACTGGAGACATTATTCTAGAAGGGTTGATGTTTGAAAATGACAATTAAGTCTTAGAGCTCTAACTAAGCCCAACTAAGCTTATTATTTCATTATTATTTAAGATACAATCGCATAATTCTTACTTTTTATGAGGCGCCAGTAAAGTTAACGTTTTACGTTAAAGTTAGGTTAAGTAGTAAGATAAAGTATTCTCGCCATTATTAATATTAATATTACTATTAGTAGTAGTATTACTCCTAGCCTATAAAATGAGCTATTATTTTTTAATCACTAATATGGCTTGATTTGTACACACTTTCTATCTTTTCTACATACATACATACTAAAAAGAGAAACATTCATTAAGAACTGTAAATTCAGCTAATACAGACAGGAAAGTGAGTGGTACGGGGAAAATGAATAGATGCAAAGAGATAGTCAGTCACCAAATTTTGTTTAAAAGGACGTTGAATGCCTGAAACAGCAACAACAACAACAACAGCACATACCCACTTCCGCATTTACAGCAGACAATCATATACACCCTACTTCTTCTTCTTAAGAATTCTATCACATTTGAAAACAAACAAAATATTATTTAGCGACACTTAAACATATATATATATACATATCAATTCACATGTTTATATCATTTCCTGGATAAGTCAGTCATTTAAAGAAAAACCAGCTTCTAATAGACGTTGGCTAAAATGGGTTATAACTTGATGTTAACGAAAAACAAAGGGGTGTCAAGAGTAAAGGCTAACTTAGATACCTTCCTTCCATCCTTCAAAAATGAGGGATGAATTTGGTGCCATGACGTGCCTCATTTAAACTGTAACATGATCATAAATAGAGAGTAGTTAGTTAGTTCATCAATAATACATCACACTTTACCACTTTACCACTAGTCAAAGTTATACAGTCAGATAACTAACAGAATGGTAATACAAATCAGTCTGATGGGACAAAGTGTTTTGCTTAAATTAAACATTTGAATATCAGTCATTCCTGCTTCATTGTACATTATTAATGAATCACCTTTTAACTAACACGATAGTAAGTAATTGATCTTTCTTTCGAATAAATAGTATCAAATTATTTAAGGTGCCTAATCAACTAACTATTTTGTGTGTGTGTATGTGTGTGTGGAATGCAAAGCCAGCTACAACATCTACATCACCTAGATAATATTTATATAGAGTGCCTTATTTACTCTCACTTCCTCTATATACAATACATAATCCTGTCATCTTTAAAATAATAAAGATAAGTAAAGCGCGACAATGAAAAAAGGGGGGAATGCTAAAAGCACTTGACTATAATATTAATCTTTTTTAGACTTTGATCACATTGAACCTATGCATTTGATTGAACATTGATATACGGAATAAAAGGAGATATTTGTTTGAATGTGCATATGTGGTGAATAAACGGCAACACTGACAAAAGGAATGAAAATCAAATCTACCCTGTTAATTTCAACACCCACGGCTTAGGGGAAACTGATTAATTTAAAAATAGCAAGTCTAATTGTTCAATTTAATACTCAAAATCAGTATGTTCTTCGTTGAGGAGCACCACTAAGACCACTGAAAACACTTAACAATTACTCTAGTCTACACACTCTGATAAATAATTCTTTTACAAGCTATACATGATGTCACTGGTAGCAACGTTTAACCTTTGTGTATAATAACCCTGGCAGAATTATTTCCATTCTGAACAAACTTAAACAAAAGTATACTTAGCCAATCCTTTCTCTTGTAAAATAATTTAAGATCATTTTCTAAAATACTGATAAATAGTCGCATTTCACATTCTCTCTTATCACTTGAACAGATGTGAACTGAACCAATTTCACGATAAACATACTTTAGATGAAAACTGAAAATAAAGCAAACCTGATGACTGACTCTGTGATAGGATGTCACATAAGAGATAGTAGTATATTACACTACAAAGACTTACCTTATTTTGTGCCTTGCATCATCACTGTCTATCGGCATTGAAGTTAACTGATTACGTAGCATGATAGAGAAATTAGCTACTACAGTTTCTACATCTCCATAAACTAAAATAAGTAAATGTTTTTGAAGAAAAACAAACAAAAGGAAGAGTGAAAAGTGAAGAAAGCTCAGTTTACCCAACTAATTAGCAAAAAACAAAAATGAATACTGATAGAAAGAAACGAAAAGTGGCAAAATTAGGTTAGCCGTTATATGGATGGACTTCAATGGGAAAGTGTAATGAAATTGAAAAACAAGGAGACATAATTTTAAGCTAAAATAAGGCAGCTGTATATCTTATCATTTCACCTTCTAATCTCGAAATAACCACATTACCACAATAAGTTATACACCGTTACTTTTTCTTTATTTCACATATATTCCTATTAATAAGATTAACAGTATTTTGTTCTGCTCACATTCTTTTTATGTACTGTTATCAAGTGTACAGAAGTGAACTACCAGTGGACCAGAGAAACACACTTCACTTTATTTCGTTCAATATAAGTGGAAAAAGTCTGAGAACTTTATTATTGTTATTGTTTCCTTTAATTCCTAGAGGAACATAGAGCTTCAGCCGTGAGTCTACATTGCGTTCGGTTCTCTGCTAGAGTCTTCACACGGCTCCAAGTCTGCCCACACGTTTTCATCTCCTCTTCACATGACCTCCTCCAAGTCACCCTTGCACTGACGACCAACTCGCCGCTTCCCCTTCGGGTTCCACTCGAGCAATGGCTTGTCTAGTGATGTCACTTGATGGTTTCCTCAGAGTATGGCCAATCCATCTCCATTTCTTCCTGCCTATTTGTTTCACAATCGGTTCCTGGTTAGTTCGCTCCCAGAGATCCCTGTTGCTGATCTTTTCTGTCTGGCCATCTGATCTTGAGTATTGAGCGAAGACAACTGTTAATGAAGGTCTGTAGTTTGTTTGAGATGCTCTTTATGACGCGCAGTGCAAGTCTCAGATCCATCCAGAGGACTTTAGTAATCTATATATATATATATATATATATATACTCATATACTATTTAACATACAAAATGAGTTGTCAACCGATAAAGGATGTGAAATTCAATCTCCCTGACTTAAATAATACTAATGATAACTTCTTCAAATGGAACAATGAGTACAGCACAGCTGGTAATCTTTGAGAAGGCAACAACCTCTTTGACATTTCCTGTGTTCCTTGTAATGACAGAGTGAAATGAACAGAAAGTCTTATCCATTCTCTCTTAATGTGATGATAAATTCATACAAGTGATTCTTCCATCCTGTAAGATGGATAACAAAAATTCACCTGAAAATATATGGAGAAACCATAATTTCACACAAATGCAGTACACGTAAGATTCAGGATATGAATGCAAGAATGACTGATATGAAAAGCTGTTTCGATCAGCGACAATTAAACGGAAGATTTTTCAGAATGAAAAAATGAATGTAAAACCTTCAAAGTATCTGAAAACAAAAACCCTGTAACTTGAGGTCGAACATAATATGACCTTAAAATATCAGTAGACGATCATAGTGTAACAACAGAAGACAAGGGCCAGGCAACAGATCGTTTATTAAGGAAAATCAACACATATTTATAGATTTTAATGTACATTATTGTAGATTATTGTTAGTAGAAAATACAGTCTTTTGATTGGTTGTTTCTCACAGAAAGTTAACCTTGCATCTCTTTATGGCTGTGCCAGATCATCCATATGCTAACTGTACCCGCTTACGCAAAGCCTTCGTTCTCATTTTCTCAACACCAATATTGGGGAAATAAACATTGACGTTAATTACTGTCTACTAACTTTGGCTAGCAGCCAGCTCTCACCACAACAGGACACTTTATCAATCAACTTTGATACCGAGATTTGTACAAACACTTTTAATCGACAACATCTCCAGTTACTTTGCATTTCTATACGGTTTCTATTTTTCCTTATTCTAATCTTTCTCTTACTACTAATACTGTAAACATTTAGATGGTGATATAGAGTTGTGTTTTCTGAGCTGGATGGTTTATCTGAGAAGCTTTTATTACCGTCTACTAGGTAACATCTTCAACGCATACTTCAATTTGAAGTCGACTTTTTAAGATTAACCTGGTAAAACTAAAACTGCCGCGTTCTAATTATGAAAAACCAAAATGTAATCGTCTTTTCATATGGATCATTACACTTCCGGTGCACATAATTTGTCACCTACACTGGGCACAACACTGAACACTAGTATGGGCTTCAATAATAACAGTGAACTGTTAAACTTTATTTACTTTATCCAGTATTCGCATTTCGATTCAGATCACGCCACATACTAGAAAACTACAAAGCCTCATTACTCATACCTTCTACATCTCGGAAAACCAATATTTATGATTCTAGTCAAGTTTTTTAATAACAACTCTCCAACTGTAAATTTAAAATAGTATTGTATTTCTGCTTGACCATAAATTCTATATCAGCAAAGCAGGATCTTTCAAGAGAGCTAATCGGCAGGATTCCTAAGAAACAGATGCTAGACTAGAATATTCTATCAAAAGTAGTAAATCGTTTCCCTCTTTGAACTGCGGTTTTCAAACACTTTACACTTGGGTGATTATTGACACAATTGTTTTAAGCGAACCTATAACAAAATAATGTTGCAACGGAACAAAACAACTCAACACGGATTAAGGTGGGAAACGAATCTATGGTTACGCATCAATGATTACTAGTTATCCTTCACATGACACATGACTCCATCCATCCAGAGGTAAAATGCCAATGTCTGGCTATGAAGAGAATGCTGAGAAAGTAAATCGCACTAATCGAGCTCATGCAGTCATGTAAGAGCTTGTGAGGGATCGTCCCATGAAGTAATGAGGACCAGTGTATCTATCAGGGATGCCCAATATCTCCATTCATGTTTATGTTCACCAGTATTAGTGAGTGTGGTCCCGATCTTCCTCACTGATTTATTACCAGGAAAGTCTTGTTGGTTTAAAGTAGGCTGATGGCGTTGTCCTTCTAGATAAATATAAAATCTTCTAAAGACCTTGGGTAGAGTCTTAGTATGCTTTGCACTGCTATTCGCCCTTGTGAAATATACGTTGATTCTACAGGCCGGACTGCACCAAGATGAGATAATTATATCACCACTTGTTTGGGAAGTTGTATAAATCCTAAAGGATACAAAAGGCTTGTGTGACATCTACGAACTTACTTCATCACTGGCCTAGATATGACCCCCAACACCCCCTCTATTCCCAACTCTCTCCTTGTATCTCATCAAGTAAAACCAGAAATCAGTATAAAAGAATCTATGCTCGTACAACCAAGTACAGGAACTCAACGATACCATACTTGGCCCGTGTTCTAAGCGACAGAGACAATGTTAGGCGTGAAACCTGTGACTTGCTTTGTTATTAACAACATAATTTCATACTCTTTTATTTCTCTCTTATTTCGTATTCTTTAGTGAACTCCTTCTTCAAACTACTTAGCTACCTGAAATATTAACATTGGCTTCCTTTTTTGTACTTTACTATATTCCTTCTATTGTGTATCACTGGTTCCGACTATATTAGCACTATGAGTATTACAAAATTGTCGTGTCATTAACCATCATGTAATTATTAGTTTTGTGGTTGCTTTTCTTATTTTCTATACTTTTCGGCAATATTAAACTGACAATCATTGTTTGTGAATGCCATAGTCACCACCTCAAAAAATTTTGTATTATTCAGGATTACTCACACTACCACCACAAACACTGCATTAGACCTTGGTAGACTTTGGTACTTTTTCGCATTCATAATTATTTTGTGTTTATCCTGTTTTTTCTTTTTTTTGGTTTTTTTTTGCTGTTGGTGTCTTCAGATTTACTCTTTTTTTTTGTTTGTTTAATACTTATTTTAAACGTCGGTAAAATTAGATGCAAATATTGTAGATATGTGCTGAAAATTCCACACTGTACCACTGTACTGTTTCTGGAATAAAGCAAATTATTATTATTATTATTATTATTATTGATATAAGGATGTGTGTAGCTAGCGGCAATTTGCTCCAGCCTTCTTTACAACTGTGAGTCATGGTCATTGAAACTGCAAGATCTGAAGAAGTAAACTTTCTTTAACCATAGGTGTCTGCGTTCTAACTCTCTTGTCAGGTGGCACAATGTGGTGAGTAATATTGATGTTAGCCATAGTGTTAGATAAGAACAGGAAGCTCATGATTTAGGTTGTGAAACTAAATTAGCTGAGATGTCTGGAGTGTCGGTGTTACATGTGACGAGCCATTGCTTTCCTCTTTGGACAATCTTAGCAGACACAAGATTGGGCTGGAAAAGAGTTAGGTGTGGAGAAACCTATACATGGTATCAATCCAGGGAGTCTTTGTCTGCTGATTTGAATCACGTAAGGACGTCAAAATATCTGGTTGTGACACAAAAGACGCTACGAACTAACGGTTGGCGACTGCTTGCTACATTGGCTCAAAATCGCTCTCAACAGCTCAGATGCGTTCACTCTAAATGAACTCCCAGGTTCTTATTATTATCTTTCACCCCTTCGTGTCTGTTTATTATATTTACAAGTGTTGGTTTAGAGGGATTTAATTGGTCACAGGATTGATCATGTGCTAACATCAGTTAGAGAACCCATGGAAAATCTGGGAGTATTAGACAGTGTTTCTTCCTATTCTGGGACTCTTCATCAGTATGCACACACCGGGATTTGAACCCAGGATCTTCCAGTAACGAGGCGAGCTCGTAGGCCATTAAGCCCCTGGGACCTAATCCAATGGTCTATGACACTGGCTGGCGGTTGCGTTAAATATATATTATATTTTCATTACATTTTTTCCCTATCTTTATGCATGCTTATGTGGAATGTAAAAATTTGAACTGCTGTAATTTTGTGTGAAATTCTACCTTGAAAATTCAGTTCATTTATAGTTATCAGAATTCCAGTTCAGTAGTTCCTATGTTTAAATGCAGAAAAGTCATAGTCTAGAAAATATTTAAAATTTTCAACGTACTACTTATTAGTAATTTGTAATACAATTCGAACAATCAGAATGCCAAACGTTTAAAATCTCTTATGTAGCGATGAATAGTAAATATTTTCTGGATATTAGACGTATTTTATAGACAGACAACCGCAGTAAATCAGAGTAACTAATATGGAATATAAGATCCCAGGCTCCAGATGCCTACGAAGACTAAGTCTATATGAACGAACTCTAAAGAGAAAGGCGGGCTTCAGGCCCAGACAACACAGTGTGCACTTGTGAACACACTAGACACTAAACCCAGCACCTTCAGATTATCTGATGAGCGTGTTACGGTTGAGTCACTGGCTGGAATGAAGTGGTGCATGAATTCACGATATAGTGTCACCACCAACCAATGCCACACTCACCAGGGGGTTGGGTATACGGCATGACAGTTCTCTCTGTCCTACTTCACGAAATGATCAGTCAAAGTAGAAAATGCGGCAGTATAACCGGTTTTGGTCGTATGCTCTTACTCTCAGTAACCGACTTAGGTGTAGCGAGATGGTGATTAATAACGAGGTAAGGACTAAAGTGCTAAAAAGGAAGCAGCTCCATCGATGAGGCTGCTCGTGTACTATACACACTGATCCATCACATTCCTTGAAGAACAATGCCAGTCGAAGTCACATTAGGTTGGAAAAACTTTAGAGGTGATTACAACGAAACAGTCCACCAATCAATGGCTTTTGATCTGAACCACATAGGGCAGTGCATGTCATCTGATTTGGGTCCTTACAATTCCAAGAAACAATGACTGGATGCCCCTTGTACTATGACTCAAAGTTGCACACACAATGTGGCGCAGATGTATTCCCTCGTTAAACTTATCACCTCGTTCCTGCGTCATTTTATCGCTAGAGTATTTGAATGACTGATGTAGATTTAATTGTAAACCATGAGAAGTATTGGATTTTGAGGTGCTTGTTTTTCTATAGTTCATTATTACTTTGTTGAATAATGTCTGTGTCTTTCAAGGCTTTTAAAATAATAAATTCAAGGTACAAGTACTCAATAAAGGCCAGAAAGAAACAAAAATATGTTAGAGAAATGAATCTTTGATTTTCTCAACATAATTCATTGCACTTTATACTATTTTTGTTTTTTGTTGTTGTTGTTTTTTTTTGAAGTATAAACAGCTGATCAGCATCACACTGTTCTTACACATAGTTCTTGGTATTGCAATAAATTCCTTTGCTATAGTGTATTTCTCGTACACAATTGATTGTCGTCGAAAATGGTTTCTATTCATCATACACTTCACAATTATTAATTACAAGAGAAAAAATATTCAGAAAGTTAGTTTGGATTTGGACAATGTGCACCACAAACAGAAAGCAGCTGTTGCAAAAATATATATATTATTCCTACGGTTTATTGTTATTACTCTTTTGGGTTCCATGTGGAATATAGGGCTTCAACAACACATTTCCACTTTGTTCTATTTTCTGCCGTCCTCTCCGACTGGGTCCACCGTTTACAGACCATTTAGAGGTGATTACAACGAAACAATCCACCAATCAAAGGCTTCTGATCTGAACCACATAGGGTAATAGTGCGTCGGTGGCATAGCGGTTAGGACGCTCGCCGATCATGCACATGGTCCGGGGTTCGATCCCCGGCTGACGCACTCCTTTACCTCGCTAAGCCAGAAATAATGTTGGTGAAGAGGAAAGGTTGGGCATTAGGCTAGCAACCCCATCCTGTAAAATAAACACTGCTACAGAAACTTCAAGCCACTAGCTTGAAGCCCTATTTTCCACTGGGGAACGTAAAGGAAAAATAAAACATAGGGAAGTGCATGTCATTTGATTTGGGTCTTTACAATTCCAAGAAACAATGACTGGGTGCCCCTTGTACTATGACTCAAAGTTGCACACACAGTGTGGCACAGATGTATTCCCTCTTTAATCTTATCACCTCGTTCCTGTGTCATTTCATCGCTAGAGTATTTGAATGACAACACATTTCCACTTTGTTCTATTTTCTGCCGTCCTCTCCAACTGGGCCCACCGTTTAGAGACTCAGGATTTAATACAATAATCCAACTGAGAAGTTCATTTATTATTTACTAACTTCTTAATCACAAAATCTCAGTCATAATCTTCTTCTGTATGAAATTATATATATATATATATATATATATATATAGGAAGGTATTTACACAATGTTATCAAAGTACAGGCATTTATCATATTTTGTGCTAAATTATAACTTACTGCGGCGTAGAACTTCTGCATCCGAATTAGAGAACAGTGATTTCGCGCGTAGATAATCATTTAACACCAAGTTGTAATCACCCTATACACATATATATAAACAGATGCACGTCATAACAGGTAGTATGATTATAAATGACTACAGACAATCACATGAGTTTTTGAAAACAAGTCGAGTAGTTTATACCACAGGTTGCAGAAAGAAAAGAATACAAAAGCCCTACAAAATGAGACATGATGATGCATCCATAAGTAAGCACAATAATAATAATAATGTTAGGTTGAATGAAAAGAAAGGTTCATTCTATGGTATATACAATGCAAAAGTATAATAACCAAATTCACCTGTAACTGAAAAATTGAAAGACCAACACTTCAGTTTTGCTATATTTACCTTTTAGTCTAGCCTTGTGTATAAGAGATATTGTAGGCGAATTAGGAGAACATAAAATTGGTGATGAGTTTATTTAAATGACGGCGGTGAGTTGGCAGGATAAAAAAGAACTAGGGTTAGCAGCTTAGAAGGTCGGATTCACAACAAACCTAGATATTTGAGTCAATACTGAGATATTTGACCTTGCCAATCAAATCGAATGAAAATTCAGTTAGAAAGCTAACCCGCAAAACAGACAATCACATTATATGATTATGAGTGATAAAGTAGGCTCGAAACGCTGTCAGTAAATACTGTATCACTGTGTATTATCAAATAAAACTATTCCATTATGGAGCTATTCAGCTGTTTGCAATGTAGTCTGATGGATACTGCTTTGGTGTTTGGGGCTATAAGTACCGAGTTTGTGTCTCAGTGGGAGCACTACCACTTAATGAAGATCAATTAATATCCAGATGATGGGTCCCAAACAGGATGAAAGGCGAGTCCTGGATCCCATTGCTAGCTGCCACAAAACCAGCAACTTCTTAATCCTGGTAATACCGAGACTTGCTTTAAAACAGTCCATATACCAAACGACAGCTAGTCAATGCGATTCAGTATGTCAATGGAAAATCACAAACATAAATAAAATAGTATTCACTTAAGCTGATTTTGTATCTTTCTATGATTGATTGTATTGGACCGAAATGTTCGGTCTCTGTTGACATGTCAGCTCCCAACAGGGACGCTTCGACGATACCTGACGCTCAATATAATCAACCACTAGGAAATACAAAATTAACTTAGACAAATAATAACTGGTATCCGATGCACAAGAGGTAGGTAGCTGGTGCTACGCAAGTGACCAAGTGGGCAACGCTTTGGAGTTTGAGACAATGAGTACTGGGCTCCAGTCTCAGTGAAAACACCATCTTGCACTGGAGACTGCAGGCACATTCAGTCCTAAACAGGATGTAATGCGCATTCTGTTAACCGATGGACAACACAATACTCAACCAGATAATAAGTATCACATAGTTCGTCAATGCAAAGCTTCGAACATATATATTAAACTACTATAAAATCTTATACAAAGCCCTGCCAATATTTCAACTCAATAGTCCAAAGAATGTTTAATCATAAAACCGAAATAAGATAACATCTCGCCCCAACTAAACAAGATTTGCACAAATGATGTACGCTTAGTTTTAAAAGAATAACAAGAATAGATGAAATCCTACCTTGGATATATTCGTGCGAATAGCATGCGGTAAATTAAACAAGAATTGATAGCGCTGCATAACTGATATAGCATTTCTAATTGAATCTCCTCTTTCTCTACGCTTTAGAACATCTTCAAACAATCGATAACCAAGTGTACGCGAATCTATAAAAAAATGATCGAATAACGACGTTGGACAATTAACACAATTTTCATAGAGTATTCTGAGTTACATTTTAATTTTTAATTTTTGTTGGAAGAATTACAATAATAATTTGTCTCTTATATTACAAATACACCGGTGAGACGTTAACTAACCACAAAAGTAATTAGAGATTAACTGGTGAATGGTGACTCACAGTGGAATCCAGGGTGCGCATTTCGTCCTACTCGGGACTCGTCATTTGGATGTACCTGCATTCCGCAGTGAGTGATGATGTTCCCAATGAGGCTCGAACTCAGTGTCCATAGTTTCAAACGTCAAAGCGTTATCCACTAGACCACTTGGACCATGAAATTAATTATTAGTCATATACACCAGTCAGTAGAATTTCCCGTGTCATAATGTATATGTTTGAAACAGCGACTGCACCTTATTATCAGTGTGACTGGAATAAATTTAAGCGATTTTGAGTTATTCTTCACCTTCTAGGCTACTTGTATTGGTGTTGATTGTTTCCTTGACTTGAACTTTGACCCTTTGTGTGTGAGGTTTCTTTCTTATCGGTTGATAAATTTTGTCAATCTTGATGTGTCTATTGATTGATGATTAGCTGGAATGCCAAGCTTCTAAAAATTCTCTAGCATTCTTGTTGTTTCCTCTGTCTAATATTTGGACATTGTACCAATCGAATCGATGCACGTGGTTGTCTGTATGTAGTGAGATGAGGGAGTGAATGTCCTGTCTTTTGACGGTTAGCTTATGTTCGTGGATACGAAGACGAAACGAATGTCCACTTTGCCCAGTGTAGTGTTTTTCGCAGGTGTTACAATTTATTTTGTAGATGATGTTGGTTTTATCTTCTTTCGCTGTTGAGTCTTTTATACTTATATCAATAATGACATAGAACTGAGTGAAGTGATTTTGTTGGTTTGTGTGCGACGTCAATTCCTAAAGGTTTGACGAGTCTTGCAGTGATTTCTTGATATATCCTTTATATATGGCAGGGTGACTTTCTTTGTGCTTTCCTTGCAGGCTTTTGGTTTGATAGGTTGGCTTGGCAAGCTTCATGAGACTCACTTTTTATTAATCCTCTTTATAGTTATGTCAAGCTGAAAAGATTTAGAAGTCTCTGAAAAAACAGTGGAACAAACAAATGTACACAAATTTTATACCCTGCATTTTTTTCTTTTAAACATGAAAACTTTGTAAAAAACAAAAAGAAGGAATAGTGGAAAAATTGTTGATCTACCGTAAAGGATTGACTCCAACTGTGTATCATTGCCACTGTATGCATCACCAGATTTCTTCTCACTCTCCAATTTGTAGCGCAAAGCTAATAAAAAGAAGAGAGGTAAAGACACTCTAAATGGAGAGATTTATAGGAAAATAGACCACTTTTAAAGTAGGATTTGTTATAAACCGACATGAGTTGAACTACTGTAAAAAAAAAATGAAAACCGCTTAACAGCTATTCTATTCTGCACTGTACATCTATTATGTGCTGAGCTCGCGGATTCGATTTTGAGTTAAACAGCGTGTAGAAATTAGATGAGTAGGTCAAAACTGAATAGGAAGGCTTTCTTTATTCTTTAGTTTTCAATGGTTATCTAGTAGATATATTGGTTCAAGATGAAGACTACTCTGACATTTCAAATAGTCTGAACTTAACGTTTATTTTGTAAAGAAAGAATATTGAACTTGCTAATCTAATGAGGAGGAATTATTATTATTATTGCATCCTTTAATTCCTAGAGGAACATAGGGCTTCAGGCGTGCGTCTCCATTGCGTTCGGTTCTCTGCTAAAGTCTCCATGTCTGCCCACACGTTTTCATCTCCTCTTCACATGACCTCCTCCAAGTCACCCTTGCACTGATGACCAACTCGCCGCTTCCCTTTCGGGTTCCATTCGAGCAATGGCTTGTCTAGTGATGTCACTTGATGATTTCCTCAGAGTATGGCCAATCCATCTCCATTTCTTCCTCCCTATTTGTTTCACAATCGGTTCCTGGTTGGTTCGCTCCCAGAGATCTTTGTTGCTGATCTTTTCTGGCCGGCCATCTGATCTTGAGTATTGAGAGAAGACAGCTGTTAATGAAGGTCTGTAGTTTGTTTGAGATGCTTTTTATGACGCACCAAGTCTCTGATCCGTATAGTAGCACTGACTGACTTCACATTGGAGTTGAAAATCCGGATCTTATTTTTCATGCTGAGAGTTGTTGACCTCCACACAGACTTGAGAGTAGTGAAAGCTTGTCGTGCTTTTCCGATTCTTGCTTTGATATCCTCGTCAGTTCCGCCTGTAGTTGAAACGATGCTTCCCAGGTAGGTAAAAGAGGTTGTTTCTTTCAGGTTCCTCCCATTTATGCTGATTGTTGTCTGTTGTTGCTGTTGGTGGTGTTGCCCAGGAATCTTCATCACCTCTGTTTTCTCTATGTTCACCTAAAGTCCTATCTCCTCAGGATGCTTCTTCTGCCAACTTGTTGCTTTTCGTTTGCATATCTTCCAGTTTGTGGGGAATCAGACATATATCATCGGCGAAGTCCAGATCCTCCAAGTTTCTTGTGTGAGTCCATTTTATGCCTGTTTCCTCATTGCCCGCTGTCTGTCGCATTATCCAGTCTACTGCAATCAGGCGATACAGGAGGAATACAAGTATTAATTAGTTCGGAAATGTTTTGCCTCCAACTGTGAATTAAATATTATGCTCTGATAACAGCCACCCTTGGTAATTAGGTCATACTCATCTGAAACAATCATATAACGCTTACACATGTTTCTCTCCTTTATCACTTTACTTTATTTATGTAAAAAACTTAGTACAAAATGGGCGACAAAAGATGCGCCACATAAAAACGATAAAACATAATGTATAGAAAGGAAGTAGAGCGATTAACGAACAGCATCCATCATATCATGAAAGAGGGCAAGCACAATTATCAACAGCATTTAAGAAACGTCCATCAATTCACTTTGCTTTCAGAAATGGAGAGAAGAAAATGAAATTGCATTATGTTCTCAACTGATTTCAATTCCCAGACATATCTGATAACGTACTAAGTCACTGGTTCGGATTATTTCTCAGGGATGCACCATCAGATGCTGGCCCAAAGCAACTATCCCTTGTCCCACGGTAGTATGTCATAGATTGACCACCTCTACCCAGTCGCAGTGGTAGCATGGGAGCCACAAGGATAACATTTATGCAACATGTTCAAGTTACTGAAGCCAACGGCTTATTGAGAAACTATATCCGTTGTGTTCAAACACACGCTTCTGGACCTCCATATTACTTACGTGATGATGTCAGAGAATGCAAACAATTCTAAAGAGTCAACGACGATTGAATACATAGGCTCGTGGTATATACCCCAGCTCAGAAAGGTCAGGTTTTACAAGTGTACAGACTCCTACCAATCTTCCAAAACTGTACACTTGGACAGAGCAAAGTAAATACCATACTTAGAGACACTGATCGCTAAATGACTAAGTGCGATTTAAGTAGTCTGTGTGTTATTACATAGTAAGATAATGTCCTTTGCATACTTGAGGTTAAAGTCTTCCGGGTAACAGATCTACACGGCTATCATGTACATCCTTCAGAGGTTTCCCCAGAGTGTCACAGATGGCAAAGTGAAAGGGAAATCTGAACGAAGAACCTGAAGAAGAGAATTTATTGGAAAGAATATTCTTCGTTCAGACTGATTTTTAATTCATGATATAGCAGCATTTCACACTATCGATTCTTAAAGAGAGATAATGAGATTGGGTAACCATGTCTAAGTCCACTATTAGTTAATGATAGCGGTGATAGATGGTTGTATGTTCTCACTCTAACTGAGGTGTTTTTTTATAAAGAGCTTTCAGGATGATGACAAACGTCTCAGGAATACCTCTCTCTATAAAATATCATTCCAGAGAATGCTTCTGTCAAACGAATCGAAGGCAACCGTAATATCAAGAAATATAGCGATCTTTGGTCTGTAATACCAGTGACAGTAGTCTAGCAAATGATAAAAGATGAACATGTGATCAAAGCACCCAAAACTTGGACGAAACCCAGGCTACTCTTCGTGAGCAGGTTTCTACACGTTTTACACAAACTGTGAGCAAGACGGCAATATTTCAGACGCAAGTGGTAGATGACTAATACTCCAACGATTACCACATGCGTGATAATAGCTTCATTTCACAATCTTACGTACATCTCGTCTTTATTACGTAACTCCCTTACCATTGTATGCATAAATTTACTTTGTTTAAACTTGAAGTCCCTGTATAAAAACCTGGTTATGTATATATATATATATATATATATATGCTATACTATACTATACTATACACAAGCAAACATTTTATTGGCACACAAGTGTTAAAAGTGCGAACTGAATAATAAAAAGATGTGTTTTTTCTCCTTAACTTACAGTCCATTCCATCCAGACATCGAAAAATCAACACCAAATTTGTCCGAATAACATTTACAGGTTCACTTGGACCTTCTTGACCCATACTTTGTCGGAAATTCTTAACAGTGATCAACAGGTCATTGTAACTAAAGATAGGAGATGCAGTTTCAAGAGTGGATAATTCATTAATAAATAAAATACAAAAATAAATCTTTACTCATGGTATTTATAAACTTCTCATAGTTTCGAGGAACAACAGAAATACCTTTTGATACATAATATAAACAGCTTTGTCTACGCCTTGTACCAATCATCTCGTGAGAGTCTGTAACAACAATGACTACCGTTAATCTGATTGCAAATCGAACGGTTGGCGATACAATTTGGTTATGAAACTGTCGTAAACACAGCAGAGTTAGAATACAAGATCAACTATTTAAAAGTTGAATACCTAAGTCATCATCAGGAGGCTTATTCATACTCAGGAGGCAGCCTATGCAGTTCTGTTTCACACAGTCTACATTGGCGAAGGCGTTACAGCAATTGCAAAACAGCAGCATCTGGATAAATTAAAATTTAACGGCCTTTAAAGCAACAAAACTTTATGCGACTACATCTCCCAATTCGGCCACAAAACGGTGGACCGCAACGCTACTTCTACCGATATAGCGACTGATTTTCGAGACAAACACAAAAAAAGAATATCTTAAACGTTATAGATGATCCTATGTCGCAACTAATTCCTAGAAGTGGACAACAAACAAGTATAACCCACTTATTTGGTACCACTGACAAAAGATTAGTTGCACTAGTTGAAATAAAGTGAAATGAATAGGCTTTTCGCATCTGCAGACGACTCTAGAAACTTTTAAATCTGAGTCATTAATTTGGTTCGGAAACCATGTGGGTCAGAAATCAAAAAAGCACATGAGATGTGTTTACTACCATATATAGATATTTAAGTGTTGATTGATGCAAAACAACCTAAACAACATCTCAGTGTTATTACAGCCTCCGAAAACACGAGGAACGTATACATTTTAACTAGACGATTATTTGAATAAACCGGTCCTTCAATCCATGAGGATATAAAAGTAGCATTTCGAATGAAAACTACACCCAAAAATGTCTAGTTACATCATTATTGTTGCTGAACTAGAGCAGCAAAAATCCTGGTGAAACGGAATTAAAAACAATCACAGTATAGAATATGGAACGAAAAGCAGATCAACAGAAGTAGAAATTTACTACAATGAATAAGAAGAAAGATATGTATAAAAAAGGAAAAGACTTTCTTTATAAGATGTATTCCGTAACATGAAATCACTTAACATTATAGTGGGACTACAACCACCGGTGTGCGAGAGAGAGGGAGAGAGAAAGGCTGTTCGTGGAGGATATCAATATCGCGGCAAACATATCGCATGTCCTAGCGATCTTAATCTATGAAACTTGACGATTTTATTGACCGACTTCCTCTCCTTACCTACATCTATCTAATCTAGTTATTTATCATGTCTCTTCATTCGACGTCAGCAAATGGATAACGACACTTATGATCAAGAACCTCCAATTATTCCAGATCTTTCACTTTCAACAACTACTTCGCGCAACCGTAAACTGAGACAAAGTGTTATCTCATGATAACTATTCAATAGGGAAAACAAATACACACAGTAAAACAAGAGAAGAATAAGCCCCACTGATATTACTTGTACCATTGAAAACACTTCAAACAAAGGCGAACGTACTGAATCAGTCTGGCTTAGTCGATTGTACAGATATGGTTAACTGGCTTAAGCACTTGATTTCCAGTCAACGGGTGCTGGGTTCGAGTCCCTCTTCACCTACTTCATTCTAAGCAACTGGATATTATCACCAGTCCTCATGCATTAGATGTGGTTTCAGATAAATCCATTCAACATAACTGAATTCTAACTAATCTAATCGAATATACTCACTAAACATACAGGCTCCATCATCCTTTTATATCAGTGAAAACAAACAATTAACCTGGAAACTTGACTCCCATGATACGGAATCGTAAAATCTTATGATGCCATTACGTAAAATGGGATGTATTTTGTGAGTGGTTCACATCCACAAACCATATGTATGACTCAGTCATATGACAGACGGTATTAGTGCCAATACTTATATGTAACGATCATCGCCAAAAGCAAACATGTGGCCTTCAGATTCTAGACACGTAAATGACAAATAACAAAGTGTCAGTGAAAACCTACTTTGAAAATTACCCCGTAAACAGTTGACTACTCACAAGTAGGTAAGCTAAGTGTTCCATTTATTTAAGTAAGTGTGCCAAAGGCTTCCCTTGTTTTTAGAATGCAAGTGAGGCAATTCATCTGTTTGAAGAACAACTGCAACCATAGGTCAGTATGCCGTCGATTCAGCTAAATTTTCCAGTATCTTTATAGTGCGGTTAAAGGAAACCTCATGCGCCAGTAGTGACAAGCGAAAATAGCATAGAGGTATTTTTTTTTTCAAATAAGTGTTTTAAGGAAATATGTAAACGTGTACAAAAATTATTACTATCCAACTTGTACATCACATCTCAGCTAACTTAAACAACCAGTATCAAGCAAGTAACAGTAACAACTTGTATCTTGTAACATATTTTAGGGAGCAAAAACATTTGTGCTGTTATAACCTTTCTTTCAGATAAGCGTGTTTATATAGACTCGATATATCAATATTCCTAAGCGGTGTATTTGATAATTCAGTTGATTCACCAACTGTTTGCTATTATTCTTAGTCCTTTTTTTTCGTCTGATACAGATACAAAGGACTTTTAAAATGCACAAATAACTCACTTTGAATTTTTATAAAATTTCAGTAAGAACATAACTGGATCGAAATCTTTATCCGCTAGGTGTACAGAACCTGGACCTAAAAGCCATGCATGCGGGAATAAAAAGAAAACATAATTTAACTCAAGTTATTTGCAAAATATAACACTGGAAATCACGCAAATCATTAGGAATGATTGAATTAGAAACTACCAGTGTACTATTGAGTGTGTGTGTGTGTGAATCGGTAGTTCAGTGTTAGAATGCCCGGCAGTCACTCCTAAGCGTTGCCTAGTTTACTGAGGGGTAGTAATTCCGGGAAAAAAGGGGTAAAATTGGGTGTGAAGCTAGCAACTCCACTCCGTAAAGGTGGCATAGCTAATGAAATTCCAAAGCTGGAAGTCTTATGTTTCACCAGGATTTAAAAGAATGAAAAAAATTTACCAGTGAAATGATTGGTGGAAAAATTAATAAGGCCAGTAAAAGAGTATAAAGTCTGACCAACATTGATTCAGTTGGCTATTCGCCAAAACTTTCTAACATTTAAAACAACTTTATTCCAAAAAAAACGATAAAACGTTTATATTAATCCAGATTACACTTTATTACATCGTTGTATATATAATCTTACGAATTTCGGTTATTCGGCAGCGAGTTTGAGATTCAGTATTGTAGATAGTCGTACAGTGAAACTCCTCTGGGATTCAAAGCGGTCTAAAATAAACGCCCATAGAACCCTTGAAAAACACTATCCTATATGCAGTAAAACAGGGTTGAAGATGGATGGTAAATCTGAAATTTATCCTTCATATGTTAACTTATTCAGAAATATCAAAATATCAAGGTTGAATCTTAATGTGAGGGCTTATAACCTCATGCTTTGATACTCCAAAGGATTAAACAGAGAAGAGAAAGTTTGAAACTGAACAGTGGAAAAGAGGATATGAGGTATACACTGTTAGGATAAGGAAAGCATATAATGGAAACTAAGTGAACTGGTACTCGTGTGGTTAGTCTCTAAATGTCATCCCCGTAGTTAAGAAAATTTATTTTGGGCGTCTTGAAACAGTAGAGCAGTTTGAACTTTGTTATATGACCCAGTAAATCCTTAGTCCTGAGTCTTTGTCTCACAATTCCTAATTTTTTAACAGACAAACTCAATTTTAAGGCGATAAGGATTCATAATTTGTCAATTTAAAAATAAAGCTTGAACACTGGTATGTGGTCCTGAGTGATTACGTTAAACAATCCAACTGATCAGGAATGATCCTCAGGTCTATAAGACAAAGACACTTTTCAAACTTGTAAATTTTAGTTGAATAACAGTGCACTAGCACTTATAACTCTAACTTTTGAGGAATAATCGTCGCTATCAGTAAGGGTGATATATATGCACGGCAGTGATTTTATGGGCGAAAACTGTTATTTTAAGAACTACATAAACTGTTTACTCTGTTTAAATTAAACCGAGTAATATTGAAATGAATTATAAAAAACCTGAATAGTAAAAATAAAAAATGAACGAAATAACTGACAGAATTATTCACTTTATTTTTTTCTTTTTATAAGTATATAAGGTGCAAGACTTCCTCTAGCCACAATAGCTTGTGCCAATTTTTACTCCATGCAAAGTCTTTCGTAAATGAGGTTTTGTCAAATAAATACTTCAGCAAATACAAATGGTATTGAGATAGGTAGTGAAATATTAGTGTTTAACATTGGGCTAGACACATAAGTGAATTTACGTGACAACTGTTTTGGGAGAAAATAAAACTTTGCTACCTTAGTATTCATGCTACAACTACTCTAAAATTACAGGTGTGACTCTATACTAGAACCACTAGAATGTACTTACGTGAATATATTTCTCTTAAAGCGGATTCTGATAGTGGCATGCTAATCCGACTTAACTCAGAAATTGGAAGGCCAGTAGAGTGGTCAAGCTCTGCACCAAGAACACATCCAACAGCCACGGTAGATCCTGAATATCCGCTAGACGTATTTGCACTGGTAGCAGCAACACGACGGTCATCTTCTGGCCAGTAGGTTACAACGGTTTGTGGACCTTGTAGAAAATAATGCAAAATCCTTTTAAAATAAAGCATTATAGGGTGATTCACTAAAAGTGACAAGTGTTTCAAGACAAAAGCAGTGCTCGAGAATATTTCCCACTGTGGCTAAGTAAAGGTGTAGTGAAAACCATTAACAGTTCGATATTAGACCATCTGGTACAAACCGGCCGGCCACAAAGCCAGTGTGGAAGAATCCTTCTCTATAATCTACCAGGTGCCTAACAAATTACCAAATTCATCGAAGCACCACATGCTCCAAACAGCAGAGGCTGTTGCACTTCGCCTCAAATAACCAGTGCTCTGTGTTCAAAAGAAGCAAGTCCAGCCCCTACTACTGTCCTGGCCTTCAGTAGAGACTATTAATTCATGAATTTGTAATATTATCTTTCCTAATTTTTCTGACATTCAGTTTATTTTATGTTGATGCTATTGAGCTATAATCTATCAATATTATTGATTCGATGCTATTTAAACATTATTGTTGTTCATAAGACTAATTCATTCATTCACTGTAATGTATATATAACTGTAGAGCCTGATGATGAAGTTATCGAAAAGAGTACTCTTTGTTCAGTATCCATTCTTTTGAAAAATTTTAATGCTGAATTATTTGCAACAACTTTAACGACTTGTATTAGTTTACTTGATTTACCATCAGTCAGCTAAATTACTATGTGACCTAAAATTGTCTGCATATAGTTACAAATAGACATAATATTGCATGCTGAAGACCAAAATTTAATAGTATACATTATAACGACTAAGATTGAGCGGAAACGTAATACAACCTATGGCAATATCATAAAACAAATCAAAATGTTTTTAAGCTAGCATTTCAAAAACAAATGGTTTGTGCAAATCACAGTAACTAAATAACGTACCAACCACCCGGAGACAGTTTTGCTGATAAGTCACGGCAGCAGTTCCAAAACCCCCACTATCAGTGACCACAACTATTTCGAGTTCACCTTCTCCTAATGGTGTTATGGCTGTAATCTTTTTGTGAGAGAACCATTGAGCACTCCTTCCAACGTCTATCCCACCAATAAATACGTGTAGCAGATCACTTGCAGTATTTCCCAAATTTTCCCCCCGGATGGTAAGTTTTGTCCCAGGGGTCCCTTCATTCGGTGAAATTCCATTCACCTGTGGAGCAGGACCACTAGGTTTACCCATTTCTACCTAAAAAATGAGTCGCATGAGGCAGTTATTTGAGATTATTTAATGTAAAAGTGTAGAATAGAACTTTTCATCCCTAAGATCTTGGACGATTAAGGTGATTAATATAAGGGCCCTTAGAGCGCCTGGTTTATATTCACAAAAAAATCACAATAAATAACGAAAATATAGAGTACAGCAATGAAACTCACTTGAATGCAGCCACAGTTATCCCCATCTACATTCTGAGAAGTTAATGACTAACTTTTTCATTCCTTCTGTGATAGCGTCTATTTCGTTTACGATGTGATCCATTTCTCTTTGTATAATCATTTATATTTCGTAGTCCTACTTTTTCATGGTTTTGCATGAATATTTTTTGAATTATAACTACTAATATGTGATAATTATTTTATATCTGCAATTCAAAACCCGACCTTAAAATCAATGTTGAAGTAAATGTGGAGTTGTGAATTGAGCACTTAAAGTTACTGACAAACTAACGAAGTGACATCAGTCGTAGATCTAGTCTTCTCTAGCCTAATGTTTCGAATAGCCCATTTACAATCCACACATATATTACGTATTGATCGGAGAGAACAAAAGTAAGTTAACGGAACAAGCTGGAACCAAACCTCAAATGCCCGATTAAGCAAAAAAATCTAGCATGACGAATACAGTTAACATAAGAATATCCATTAAGTTATCAAGGCTTTTCGGCTGTGCTGATAACTTAAAATGAATACGTTATCACAAAAACAGTCATATCACACGGAATTTCATGAGATTTTTTCCCCAAAACTACACATACAAGAATAACTATGTATTGCAAGTTAATATGCTTCTGCATGACAACACTACACCCAACAAATACGGAAAAATTACGTACATACCATAAATCAACATACAATAGAAAGCAACAATCTTGGTGTTACTGAGTTATTAATTTCTCTGTCACCGAGTAAATTAGAGCATGGTAATACAATTAAACATGTCACGAATAAATTTACACATATCCGAGTGAACTCTCAGACATTCCACGATATAACATATTTTATTCTAGTGCTCACACTGCACGAAGTCTACGATTAAGTACGTTGTGTATATACATACGTTTACACTTCTATACTTGTGCAGACGCCTACTAGAGATAATCAGGTTTAGCTGAAAACATTAGAAGTGATGATCGAGGACAAAACTCACCAAACTTTTAGCCATGGAATTAAAACCATATGGAAACAAAGTAACTGAACACTTTATCTGTATACAACTAAAGTCTATACAGATTTTTACTGGCATTCTTGACATAACTATATGAGCTTTGACATTGGGTTCATGCAGAAGTTGACTAATATCCGAGATTCCCTTTGGAATACTGTTAATTTATATTGAATATGGTATCTGATAAATTTATCCCAGTGAAAATGTTACCAAGGGATGTTAAGTTTTTAAATATTATATGGCGTTATTTAACTCGTTACATATATTAGTGGAGCTACATTACGTGTAGAAGACCAGCTTGGAATAAGGTGGGTTAGTCATGATAAACAACCCGAATATTCACTAAAGAAAACGGTAATGAGTATGAACATACAACTGTTACTGCGTCAACATGATTATTGTATAATCTTTCTACGACACAACGAGAAAGTAAGGTTGCTTTGCGTAAAACTAAGATCACATACAGCGATATTGAACAGATGCAGCCAAGATTATTTATTCTCCAGGCAAATCAAGGACAGCGTTTACCAAACAGCTTTTTAAAGCAAAGATTGAGCCGAAATTCAACCAATAATGAGACTGGAACTCCGTGTTGGTGCACACATTTCCCAATAGGTATAAACAAAATTAGCGACTTGATTCATAAGGGGAGTTGCCACATGTTAATGCAAAAAGGCGCAAATATCAATTTAATATTAAAATAAGGTTGGATACCGGGACCACTTAAAAAAAAGAAGTGTAGGACCAATGTCAACTTTTTATCATGAAAAAATGAGGTAAAGTTATCTTCTAAGATGTCAGATGAATAATTAAAAATAAGGCACTACACAGTGGAAAGACTAGAAGACTTACAAATGAGAGCCTTTAAACTAGGTTGTACATTTATTGTGAACAAGATCTAACCTTGAAACGTACCGCAAAAGTTATACCAGCCACCAGTGAACGATACGTTCAACAACAGAGAGAAACTGTTCGGGAATCCTTCAACAAGATTTCGACTTTCGCCGGACTTCTGTGGAGGGACACCTAGTCAGGGATATTCGAAGGCATAAGATAATGCAATCCACATATTCAATCCTGAACTCTGAACCAGTTAGTCTGAAAACTGCATGTGACATTGCCTAAGATTGTTCTCAGTCGCTCAGGTGAATTTGCTCTTCATGAATACCAAGATCCAGTTATTTTTTGCTACTTTTTACGCGATTAGTCTTCCGACAAAAAGGACCCCACTACTAAGGGTTTCCTAGCAGTGAGACTTAGAACTCTGATAATTCTGAGGTCTCAGTGGTTGAAAAGGGGAAACACCAAACAGTTTCCCGCACTATTACCCTCAGTCTGTTGAATAAAAGGCTAAGCTGGGTTCCGTGTTGAACTCTGACAACCCAAATATCAATGTAATCATGAAAACATGGCTTACGTACTACGTCAAGGGCAACCAAGTTAGTCTTCCAGACTTCACAGTGTTCACAGTAGAAACCGCAAGCCGCAAGGGGGGGTGAGAGGTCAGCCACCTAAAAAGGTGCCTTGACTTCACTACAGTGAAGCCCTTGCACTCGAGTGTGAATCCCGTAATGCATATTAAAGTGCGTGGGACAAGACATTAACCCTACTACAACATATCGCACCTCCTACCGCGTCGCAGACCACTTTCTAATGGAAAAACTAGGCTCGTAGACGCCCAAATATCAGGGTCTTTCAATGCTCAAACAGCTGACTTTATGAACCTTACGACACTACCTTCAGGTAACGCCTTTGGCCACAAACTGCTGTAATCTACTATTTCAGCACCCTCAGTGCGACGTGTCATGAAGCACACACATTATGATCCACAGCATTCCTCATAAGCCCTGGGCATATGTCAAAATGCTGGAGTTATTCATAGTTCCCGTAAATGCATAATACAAACCCACTTCAGGTATGAAATTAATGTGTACCACAATTTTCAGTAGCAACTTTGGATTGCTCTGATGGTGGCTAAGTATTTTCCCTGTCTAAAAAGGGCAGTAATTAGGCAGACGAACTGTTGAGTATCCCCTTGTGCTCACTGTTTCTCGAAGTTGCTTCTAACATCTTTAAGTGACCTTCATTTTCGGTCGAGAATTCCAGCGCGTGGTCATCGTTTGCTGAAACCTTTATTTGACATCAAGGTATGCCGCTAATACTCACAATGGATAAGATTTTAGACACAAAATAATTAGTTCCATTGACATATATTGGAGTAAATAATTATTTCTAAGTAATCTCATTGCGCTTACTTTAGAGTCAGTCAGTCATTTCCAGCTTCATTAGATGGCAATCTAAAGAAAGGATACAAAATTCTAAAATCATTCCTACTGGTTGGACACAGTTATTATCCCTTTGTCATTCTGAGGAATAGAGCAAACTAACAGACTGAAATCTGGATACTGTTGTTTTGACGCTACAAACTTTGCTGATAGGTTCGTCAATATACTTTAAGTTACAAAGAAAGCCTTTGTCGATCTTCCACGCACCGCTGAAAAATATGCAAGACGCAGAAGATTTTAACCAACTTTTTGGTCTGTTACTAGGCATCGGTAACATGCCGTCATTTCTCCCTACATTTTTATTCTTTATGACAAAACTTCTCACCAGATCAATAGGCTTTTGACGATTCTCATAAACACGGTAGAAGACGAAAGACTTGGTAAAGAAAGGTTCACTTAAAAATCAGGGTCTCTGTATGGCTAAATTATGCACAACTTATCTTCAACCCACCATTTGCACAGATCTTCGTGTTGGGGTACTTCTGGACTTCATGTTGTGTTTCTTTCACGTCTCCTATGTATCTCCACAACACTGTATCATTTGGCTTCTCTGAAATCAAACGTATCTCCCTCCTATTTGATGTTTTTATGAACGTTTCTTTATGGTCTGCTGATAAATCTTATCAGTAGCACTCGCCACAACAGGTGTTTAGAATTGTGATAATGGAAGTATCCCCAGTTGACAGGCTGCTTAAGTAGACAGAATTCAGTCAATGACTATACATCTCAAGCAGACATAGACTTAAAAGGATTCGCAGCTCTGTTATCTTCACATATACGACTCCGCAAGACTCAAGTGTTTTTGAGAGCAACTAAACTGTCGGCTTTCTCTTAATGAATTGCGAGAAATTTAACTGTTGTTAAATAATAAAAGGTAAATAATAATCACAAACAATAATTTTATAGACAATAATTATCAGAGTGATGTTACACATATTGCAACGGTTTTGCTGCTTTTACAAATGTGTACATACATAAAAGTTAAAATGATAATAATATCAATAATCGAACCACTATAAACAGATTACCTGCAGAAACATAATGTAGTATAAGTAGATAGTATCACAGATGACATATGCAATAATAATCTTTGCTTATACTTTGCAGTTCAGTTACTGATGTAAACAGCTTATAAGTTTCTTTTCTGACATCTGACTCCCCACACGAAACCCGTGCTAAATATGGTATCGTAGAACTTTTATATTTATTTGTACAAGTGTGAATTCTTATGAAGTTTCTTCTGGTTTTACCTGAAGATATACAAGGCAAAAGTTGAGAATAGAGAGGATGTTCAGTATCGGACAAGATAACTTTAGCCAAATGCTTGCAAAAATTGAAACGCCTATCGACAATAATAGTAGTCGGCTGAGTCAAAGGCACACCACTAACCTTACTTACATTCTTCAGTGTTCTACCTAGTATGGCATGGTCTTTTTCGGGAAGTCCAGGGAAAAATAATGGCAAACAATTGAGGAGAATGGGTGGAATACACGAATTAACAAATCTTAGGGGAAGAGGTTGAGTTATGCCAGGAAGTCTCGACTTCTTTATGCAATTAGTCAAATGAAAATTTTTCACTAGAAGTCAACAGGATATGGGACGATCGACAGAGATTGGAAGAGAAACGCATTCCGACATGACAGATATTCGATGTACTCCCTATCACAGTGCCGTCAATATAAGAGGAATCATGCAAACTGTACGGAGTATACTAACGCAAGATCTTATACCAACAACTTCTAAAGTATTCGTTTCTCGTGTACCGAAGATAAAGCAAACGACCACATCTAGTCGTCCAAAGTACGTGATATATTTCGGGACCAAATAGTAAACCGTCTCGAGCGCTTAACTAGCTAGTGGTCGTGCACTCACGTGACACGACGGAGTACCGAATGGCAAGGATGCTTGACCGGAAGCCTTCAGCTAAACAAGTCGACCTAAACAATGAGGGTCAGCATCCGATGTTCAGTGATGATTGCTGTGGTCAATAATTTTGGGGAATTATTTACCACTACAGGTGATTTGCTTCAAAATCTCCATTGAGTCACATGAAAAAGAGAAAACGTTCAGCTAAGAGACTTTCTTCGGCGAATTCATCCACATAGCTGTACAATCGCATTTATATACAGTTACTTTTGCCTGTGTACAGACTTCCTAATCATATGCATGTGAGATTCAGGTGAGAATGCGGTGTCCAATGGTACATGTAACCAGCTGTATGTTTCAGAGAATGGATATCGCAAACAATATGTTCGATTACGAAATAATTATCATGTAATAAGAAATTATTTATATCTTTTGGAGAAGCATTCTAAAACTGACGGCAGTATTTGAAACTCAACAGTACGCGTACTGCCATGGATAGTCTTTTGAAATTAGACTACAGAGGTGGCACCAGTGTGTTTCTGAGTATCACGGACCCAGATTTATTGAGAATATTTTACACTCCATTAACTTCCGTTGGCTAACCTCAGCCAACAGCCAAGATTTCCTTAGAAATTCAGTAGGGATATGAACCCTTATTAGCTGCAGGGAGTTACTTATATCCGCCCTCACTTGATTATCCATTCACTTTTCTCGCCGAGCTGTGAGACACCGCCAGAGGAACACTACCTTATCAATAACACTAAGTTGTATAAGATGTATGAGCTCGAAAGGTGATTTGATAATGTAAAGTGACAAGTCCTCAAGCTAAGTTCTGCCTTGATAGTGACTTGCATTATCGATACCGCGGAGTGAATTATCTATTTTCAGGGTATGCTTCCCATTAGCATACGTCATCCTTCACTCCAAATGACGACCGGTGGCTACATGCTTATCACAGCCTCTTTTTCCACTTTGACCTAGAATTTGTTTGACTTTAGAAGGGGAATTTGTTTCACATACACGCTACAACACGAACAGTCACTGTCCTATCCATCTTGTCATTATGTAAACTGTGACTGCAAAGTTCCTTTAATTCATCTGACAGGACAACAGAAACCTCATCAAAGTCACCAGGTTTTCTTCGCCCCAATCTGACGGTAAATTCCTTGTCCAAGAATTTTGTGTACACACATACCACTGTCTTCTAGCAAACCTATGATGCTTGTTGGTAATTGTATACTGAATTTGAGGTCACAGTCTAATATTTCTTCCACGCCAACTTGTGCAGCATTTGATGACAGTAATAATCTCATAGATGACCTAGAGATCAACTCTGCATGTCATCTTTCAGGAACAATGCATAATAATGCATATTACAGTTTCCTTGAGTAGGCGAGATAACAGTGGCCTCCTCACTAGTGCTGTTTGTGCCCACTGCTCCCTGTATAGTTGGATTTGAAGCCGAAGGAATTATATGATCTTGTGGAACCTCTTCACTATGTATACATTTACTTTTTCAGACTTTCCAGTCACTGAGAACTAGCTGGCGTAACCGTTTCGGACGTCGGTAATACGTCAATGAGTTGTATCTAAGACATCCAAGCAGTTTGCCGGGAGGTATGCTTTTCTCCCAACTTTCCGCATCATATCGATTACTCGTATCTGACGCACTGTCTGAGTTATTTTCCTGATAATAAGAATGGACAAATAGTCTTCACCAAA